AATAAGTCATTCTTGATCTCACAAGAGAAAGATAGAGACTTTTCTTGACACCAACTGAGACTGATGGAGAGAAAGACCGCCGTAGTAGACCTAGTGTTTGGTAAGCCTTTGCTGATATTGAGTTGTAGTGGTCTGACCATGAGAGGTCTGATGAGAATAGCACACCCAGGTCCTTACAGTGCTGCTTGCATGAGATAGTAGAGCCATTGATTGAGTAGTCAGAAGATGTGACCGCTTTAGTTCTGTTGTGAAAACGAAGGAGACATGACTTTGAGGCATTAGCTGAAACCTTCAATATTGGTGACATTTCAAGCCCCTTTTCTGCTGTTTGAAGTGGTCTATTAAAAAAGTAAAGTGATTTGCGCACACTACTATACTAGTGTAACAGATTGATAAAGAAGTTTCTATAATAAGTTCTTTATGTTAAGTAGTAGAGTGGCCACAGGTTGGGCCCCATTTATGGCCAATAAAAAAACAAATTCTCCTTCATTGTCTATTATATATTCAAAATAATAGGATTCGTGCACGTACATAGTCATAAACTAACCTCCTAATGTTGTGTTCCTTGAATATCTTTGAGCACTGGCTAGAAATTTTGCCCAAGGTGGTTAATTGTTGAAAAATTGTCATTTTTTGGTTAATAATTCAACGCACTTGATAAAATTAAGTAAAATTCTCGATTCATATGATGCATTAACCTATTATTGAACCGTAATCAGGCGAGTATTTGTCCTACTACACTCTAGACACTCAATAAAGAAGATTACAACTCACATCACTCGCCATTTTCTTTGTTGGATCGCATATGAGTCGTTACTAAAATCATAGATTGTATTACTATACTATATCCCAGTTCAATTTGGGCCGGAAGTGGAAGCAGCTGCGTGGAATTTGAAAAATGTAGCTACGTCACAAAGTGACGTAAATAATGATATTCATAGAGAAATGGCGGCTGTGTTGTTTCACTCTTAAAACAGTCTTGCTGCTGCTGATAAGCAGTACAATAGCTGCTGGAGTCAACTAGTTTTCATAAAGGCCATCATTATCAGAAAATCTTGCTCTATTAGCTTTTTAAAAGAAGAATTATCAGTTTGGGCGCTCGACCACATGTGCTTATGTAAACTATGACATCATGAAACGTCATTGCGGTTAGCTTTGGTATGCCATTGGGTTTATAGGGAGAACCCGGTTTTCAGGGTTCCCAAGGGTTGAGAGACCCAAGGTTTCACAGATTTTGATGGACTTAGGCGACTAAGAACCTGTGAAAGTTTCATCCTTATCTCACTTTCCTATAAAAAGTTATTCCAGTTTTTCTTGTCCCAAACTCAACTGGGATATAGTATACTATGTTTACACTACAGAAGTGGGCCAAACCGTGCTGAACCAGGCTGAGCTGGCCCTGCTGTACTAACCATGCTGGCCTAGTTTGGCCCAGCTCACTTCAGCTCAGTTTGGTTACTGTTTACACTATCAAATGAAACTGTGCTGGCCCACTTTAAACAGGGCTGGCTCGATTAGTTAAAGAAGCCAGTGTAAACATAGTAATAGATAATAAATTTCTTCCTTCCTATAGCATACTGTATAGCAGGAAATTTTGGAGGAAGTTAAATTTGGTGAATTGCTAAATTTTGGTGATTGGCGGGTTTTAAATTGGCAAATTTGTGGTCACGTGCCATTGAGCATGCGTATAATGGCTCAAAATGGCGGCTTTTTGGCAAATGGCTATCAAAATTTGCCAAATTTGACTACCTCCAAAATTTCTTTCTATACGGTAACTATCCTTACATGTACATGCACATACAGTACTGCTCAGCTATAACTTTATTTATAGTGTACACAACAGTGCAGCTTGCCTACCCAGGTAGTGCTGGAGTGTAAAAGTCAAGTTATAGCTGAGCGGTGCTGTAACTCCTCTTTATTTTTCCACTTACTTTAATCGTCAATTTAGACACTCTCTTGGTTAGACTAGGATCTCTAATATTACTATCAGGACCTGTGGAAAACAAAGTCACATAACATGGACACATCTAAAGACATTAAATTTCATCAAAATTACTAGGTAGTTCTTCTACTTCAGGACTGGTCGTCTATACAAAGTAAATAAATGAAAGGTTAGTCGTCTTTCTTAACATACCTCTCTCCTTCTTTTTCTAAATTCGGCTTCAAAAAACTCGCGAGTTTTTCGTTTTTGAATTTCCTTGATCCGACTGCTGGAACCCTCATCAGACTCTTCATCACTGCTCCCGCTACAAGAAAAATATACATGTACATGTACATGTACATGTTCGTACATTAAGTAGTAATTGGTTCACAGTTTACACTACTAAATTACTAATACAGCGTAGTGACTACATTGGCACTTCCATAGTTTCTAGTATTTGGCAAGAGGTTCTGGCAGATGGACTGATATTGTTACCTAACAAAGTGAATCATACCATGTGCTGGTGGTAAGGAAAACTAGTGGAATTGAGAAACATGTCATGCTTTTAATCTGCTACAATAGACATTGGGTCAAGTACATGTACATGTACAGTACGTTACATTATTTACATGTAGCTGTATATGCACACGTATAATAGTTTAAACAAACTTAATGTCATTACCATGCATATTGAAAACACACTGTCACTGTTTGCGTAACACATGTACATGTATATACATGTACACTGACTGTGTACAATTCACTTGTTCAGCTAAAATATCAAAAGCACAGTGTCAGATAGACAAACATGGCTTAAGTATACACAAATGTTGTAAGTAACAACTACATGTACATGTACATGTGTACCTACATGTATCATATAGCTTTAGCTTGTATATTACATGAACATGTACACATGTACGTGCATACTAACCCCACCCATAGATAGTCTAGCTAGCTCGCTATAGCCATAGATTGTATTACTAAGTAACAGGGATAGGAAACAGATCACGTGATCTCATTCAAATTAATGAAAGCAGGTGCGGACGAACCTTGTAAGACTCTGCCCCTTCCCCGGCTCGTTGAGACTAGAGCAATATGACTGAGAGGACTGCTAGATTAAGTGTAGCTTGAAGCCAGATCCAGGGCAGTTATATAGCTTATATTGTTGCTGAAGGTTTGATTACTTATCAGAAACTGTTAAAACTGTAATACAGCACTTTATTTTGAAGAAAAATGAGAAAAAGCATGCTTTTTTACCATGCGTAATAGGTGTGAAATCTATTCAACCTATAACTTGCTAAGGGTAACTAAAACTGAGAGAGTGTCAATATAAAAAACATGCATCAAGTAAAGCTACATGCCACTAAAACACTTTTATTATCACTAGTGCTTCATACAGATCATAAGATCCCAAAATGTCTGTTTTTAGAGGCGTATCTGTTCAACCTATATCACAAAAAGTAAGTAAAATTAGGATAAAGGACAAAAACTGTAACAAAGATCAGGGTTTTTCACATGCCTTTAGCCTATTATATAAGCCATAGACGGCACTTTGGAAAAATAATAGCTGTATTCGTTAATTTGTGCCATCACAAAGGCAATTTCAATGATAACATGGGCCGCGAGAGGCGGCGAAGATTCTGTCAACAAAACTATGCTTAACCGTCACAAAGAACAGTCATGAACTCTCAAGACCTATCTGTTCATCATCGATAGTAAATAAAATTCAAATTAATACAGTTGGAGACTAGGAGAAGAGCTTGTGTAGTCTTTCCATTGCTTTTCCACCATTACAGAGTCTGTCCGTGTGACGTCATCAGTTTCCAATCCCTGTTACTTAGTAATACAATCTATGCTAAAATGCGGAACGTGCGGAACGCTACGAAGAATGCGGAACGAGTGATACGGAAAGTACACAGACGTAAACGGAGTCGACGCGTATAGTTCCACAGCAGCTAGAGCTAGAGGAGGTATGACACGGTTGACCTTTGATGTAACTAGGCGAATGTAGAACATTGAAGGGGCGAGCACAAGCTAGCATGGCAATATACAATGTTTAGATGTCACAAAGGCTAATGTTGTTGTCAAATTGTAAATTGAATGATACACATGCAGAGCAGCTCAGAACTTGTGACTTGCATGCAAGGGAATTTTATAGCTTGCTTTTCTAGCTTTATTAGCAGTGAAGAATCTGAGTTGTAACTTTAATAAGTATAATTTAATTTTTACTATGATATTTTCAAGCACAGTACTTTTAGACTCTCTTTTCTCTGATGAGCCATTTGAAGTGCTTTTAAATTCTGTCATTCAACCATAATTAATAAAAACTTGAAGATTTATGTGTGTTTTCTTGAATTTTCTCTGCTGATGAAGTGTCTTGACAAGAGATCAGTCCTATGTTGCTGCAAGTAAGATTGGCTAAGGTAGGTGCCATTTTAATTTCATTGCAATCACACCCACATCAATGAAAATATTTCATTAGAATGCTACCGCATTAGATCATTGATTTTTAAATAGAGAGTTGTGCACACATGGGTGTGACCAGAATAGGCGTGACTGAAGACGTACGTACATACATACTAGTCTCTCGGGGCCAGACTCAATTTTTAGAATAGAGTCTGGTTTCATGCCTAACATCAACTCGTGCTTGTCTGGCGGAATTTGGTCGACCTAATCAGATCACTGTTACCATGGTTACATTAGAATCCGCCCACGCACGGCAAGTCTATTATCAAGAATGGAACTAACTGAGATATTATACTTTCTTTCTATGACTACAACTGCCGACTGGATTGCTTTTATCTGCTCTGATGGTTAGACAATTAGGCAAGTAAAGAAATACTTCGAGAAATAATGTGCTTGGATCCGAGATGAATTCAGCCGCCATGATTGCTCCAACTTCGGTACTGCCTAAAAAAGCCAAAAATGAGAAGTACTTTACTGCTTTATTTTTCTTGATGTCAGGAAGCAAGTATGAAGTATAAAATAAGTAAACAAGCAAGTATAAAATCAGTATTAAAAAATAATAAATCCAGAATATTGTGGTGCGTGGGCGTGTTTATAGAGATTAACATTCCTTGCCCACGCAAATCAAAACATTGAAAACATGAGTTGATATTAGGCATGGCACCAGACTCTTATTCGGTAAATTAGAGTCTGGCTGGCGAGACTACATACATACATACATACATACGTACAGAAGAGTCTCGCTTAAGTGGGGCTCGCTTTTGCTCGCCCCAATTATTGCTAATAAAAGTGTGATTTTATGTACAATAATACAATAAAACTTGACATTTATCATGCATTATAATTGCTGAAACTTTCCTTTTCTTTTAGTATATGCAGTCTACCAATGCATGACTTTCCTATCTCTTGTCACCTAAAAATGATGAATTTGACTACACAATTGCACCAAAACTAAAAATACACTCCTTTTGAGAATAGGCCCACTACAACTACCTATTCTCAAGCTACAAAACCATATAGAAAAAGTTCCAATTAAGTCAAGTATTACAAAGAAAAATTGGCTAGAAAGGTGGGGCTTGAAAAACCAAGATTTAGGAAATAACAGCTCTTTTACTTAACACAAACTCTAAATAATAGCCCCACTACAACTAGTAAACAATAACCTATCAGTACAATAAAAAATGTTGGCCTAATTCAACAGAGTTAAGCTAAAAAAGTGGCTTGAGTGAAATGTACACAACAAGTAGGCTATGACATCCATTGTTAGCATATTATAGCCTACATTGTAGGCTATAATATGCACTCAAACTATCGTTTATGAGCATTATTTCAATATATAAAGGCTTTGCAAAGTCCTCTGAGGGATCATTCAGCTACTTTAACAAACGAATAGGCTACTGTGATTGTTTTACTTACCCTGGCAGCCATGAATGCAGCGAAACAAGGGTGAGGACAGCCGGATGTGACGTTTATGACGTTTCCTTATGGGATTTTATATGTGTGCATAGAGGAGTTTCGTATCCAGGGGTATATAGTAGTCTCGCGTAGCCAGACCACACCCTCCGTGCCTACGGGTGGGTCTGGCAAATTGACCATACTCCGCTCGTTCTGGTTCACCCAAAAATGGGTGAACCAATTTTTTTGCTCTACTTCACCCAGAAACGGGTGAATTGATACAGTAACTCTTGACTCTTCTCTTCTACTACCTTCTTCTTAAGTGACAAAAAGCTAGAGGAACAGCTGTGACAAATTATGCATCTTCT